ATTTTTCGCTTGAAATAAAATAATTAAAACGTAGAACGGATCATATAAAATATAAACTTACGCGGATTTTTTTCTCCGAGAAAAAATTATTGATTCAAAATCTTCTAAAATTCAGAATTAATAAAAAATTTATCTTACTTTTTGTGATTTATTTAAAATATTTATTCTCAAACAATATGTTTAATTCTTCGCTGGTAACATAAATTTTAATTCCTCCATCAACAATATGGGTCTTCGAGAAACAGCAAATTTTTTATTATGTTAAGTTATATAAAAATTTGAAAAAATTGTAATATATTTATCAAAGCTTTAATAACGTTTTTACCATCATAAAAATCGGATTGTACTTTACTTATTTTTTACAGATTGAAATTTAAATTTATAATACATCTACCAAAATTCACAATAAAAATGTCGAGGATATCTTTAAAAATTCCAATTGTCGGCAAATAGTTACAAAAATAGAAATTGTAGATAATCTGTAAGTTTAAAATGGAATCTCACCATAACAAGTGAGAATAGATTCTTGAAAAAGAATGGCTCAATTGCCAAGTTTTAAAAGTCAGATTTCAAAATGAGATCTAAAAGAATTTTAGCATAATTTACACATATTAATTTCTTTTAAGTTAGACTTCAAGTGTATAATCTGATGATTTTACATGTTCCGTTTCAATTTTTTTCAATTTTTGGAGATCGGCATTTAATCGTTATTACTCTTAGTTCGCCGTGAATTTCAATAGAAACCAAATACGTACAGTTTCAGAATAGTACTGTCAAACGGCAATCTTTCTAGACGAACGACTATTGCACGCCATTGAGGCGTTTCGTGACGCACATTGTGCACAATGTTGTTCGCGTACGGACAGGGACTGGCCGATTCGTTAGGGGTTCGTTTGTTTGCCGCAGCTCGTAACACACTCTCGCGAAAGGGTGTCGGCTTTTACGGCCACCGAGGTGCCCGGAAAATCGCCGACGTCCTATCGCGACATGGTCGATAGGGGAATACGAGAACGGTACATTCATAATTTATACGGCTTTACGGAAAATTAGTTATTGTTCTCGACAAATTCGGCGCTGCGGCAACCGTGTCGCACGTTACACCGGTTACTCTACTGTTCGCGGTGCGGAATAAACGATTATTCCACTGGATGACAACGCATGAGTTCCTGTAAATATTGATATTGCAAATGCGCGTTTTTTTCCTTCAAACTCTCGACGCAAATAGATCATAGAATGCGCGTTTTGACATTATCTGATATCACAGTCACTGCGACGCACAAATCGCGATTATACAATTAACAGATCATGAATTGCATAATGTATAATAAAAAACGTACATATACTATCTTGTAACATAAATTTAATCGTTTTTTGATAACCATTCTTTGTTAAAAATTATCTGGCAACGAAACATCAATAATTTAGTTCAAATAAATTAGAAATTAATATAGGGACATCTTATATATTATATAAAAATATTTTTTGATGTATTTTATCTTTCATAATTGCAATTATGATTTGGAACGCGCAATCTAATCATGCGTGTTTATTTCAACGATATTGAACGGCAACGTTTACCTGTCGCATCATTTGTATTTCCCATGAACGAAATTATTCGCACGGCTTCTCGTCACCAATCGTTTTGTTTGATGTATGCTAATTGCTGTTTCCGATAAACTTCGTCCACAAACCGGCCGCTGTGCCATTTGAGGTCCATGGTATTCGCGACATGTACCATTCGTCTCCGCCAGTCGACGACGTGCTGTTTGGTTACGCGTTCAATAATCACTCGTTTCCCGAGGAATCTAGGCGAGCGAATGTTCATTTCCTTCCTAGACGGAGCACCATTGCTCCGTAAACCCCCTTTACGTTATCCACCACTAGGGCAGTGGTGGTCGCTCTCAATTTTGGCCATTCGAAATGCTCCATTTCCGGAGAACGTTGCCCGCACCATCCATTTACCGGTTCATCGATAAGGAAGAAAACGGATCGATATCGAGAGTAAATCGTACTCACGGTGGTGTGCGATGGTAAATTGACTGTGACAGTGTATAGTTTCAAATTCTGGTATAACTGAAAATCTCCCGAAACACTTTCGTAACGAACAAAAGAATATTCTTTAACAACTAAATTTTACAACTCATCAATAAACAATCCAAGTAACTATCACGATAGAATAAGTTTGGTCCTCATTAATAGCGTTTTGAATATAAATGTCGAGGGAAAAACTAACTCTCTACAAAAATATTTTTACAGAAATTTCTTGTAATTAAATGTATTATAAATCAAAGTGTTAAATTGCGACAATCACCATAATTAACCTATCATGATTGCAATTTGATATTATGGTGCGATATATTCACGCAATTGCAAATACATTGCGTGTCAAGATATTAAATTGCAAAATTCGACATAATTAAATAATTCCGGTGCAATCATAAACCAGATGCCCAATTAATTAATGTTAATTCAATATGCTCAGTACGGTAATCCGTGCAAATAGAATTAACGGTCGAATTTATATGTTTCATAAATTTGACTTAATAATAGAAGTACGATATCCTAAATCGTTGACTTTTCACTTATGCGCACAATGTGATGTAAAAATATTAATTGCTTATTTATCTGTCGATTTATTTACAAGAGATTTTTGGAGGTTTTAAAAATGAATATGTGACAAAAACATAGCTCACAACTTAAATTTACAATATCAAATTTGAGATACTTTTAATAATTTCTATAGGTCGCCACTTCTATACTCAACATGTCGTTAATTTAATTAAAGCAATGGAGATAAACAACTCAACAAATGTATTATAAATTTGGCTTAAATTTAGTTTTTGTTATTTATTAAAATCATACATTAATGTAAACGTCTTTGTTTACTTCAAAACTAAGCAATTTAACGAAAATGGAACAATTTGCAGTTACACATGAGATAGAAATTGAAAATAATAAAATGTTATTTAACTCAAGAAATTGGATTATTATTACGCTTTTGATACCTAATGCAGACTTTTCCGATTTATATAAAAACTGAAAAAACCATATCTAAGATTTCTATACTTTAGAAATGTGGTCCCCATCGAAAGATATGATAATATAACGCGAGATGTGGAAATTATTGTTGGGACAATCGTTTCTCCTCATTTTTTCCTCTCTTTCCGAGAACGTGAGATGCTCACGTATGACGCTAAAGATGCAACTTTAAGTCGCGCTATATACGAAACTGGCCGTCGTGCGAAACAACAGTATCGTCGTAGCGGAATTGGGTTATCCACTTTGCAGGAGCACGTTCCACCTGCTCGCGCGTTTCATACATCCGCGAGAGAAGAGCTTTCTCGTGCAGGTGCAGATTCCGAGGACACACACGGCGCGCGTTTGGGGAAAAGCGAAGGAAGATACAGTGCGAGCCGCAGTTGCACGCGCGATACACAGACGGCTCGCGGTTGTGCCAAGTTAAGACCGGCTTGTTAGGAAAGTTGTATCAAGTTGGATCGTGCTACCCACGAAGAGACTTCGCTTGGGAGCTCCTCCTAAACACATCGCTTCTCTTCTACCTCCCGATCTCACTCCCACTCGACCGAGCCGAAATCCTCCATAACGTCACCCGTATTCGCCAACCTATGCTCCCCTCCTCAACCCTTTGACCGTGTCGACCTTCGTATGTATATCTATATGAAACATGCATATGTGTGTGCATGCGGGTACGAATGTATAGAGCGCATATAGTAGATTTACCCGTATTATTACCCGTAGCAGTTTGGCAGAAACGGAGAGCCCCGTGGTGCCTCATTAAGTTCGCGAGGGACATGCCGATCCACTCTGCATGAAGTAATATTCTAGCTCCATATACGTAAGGTCTCATAAACTAAGGACTAGTAGTTTAGAGTAGTTCTCAATTGATTAGGAAATAAACGAGAGATGCAGAAACAAGATTATACGAATTTTATGAAAAGATCCAATTTTTTAATCGCTTTTTAAAATATTCGAGATATCATAATTTAGAATATTTAATAAAATATATCATGCAGAGGCATAAAACAGAATAAATGTATGGTTTGAAATGTTTCTTATTATTGAATTTTAAGGAATAAGCATGTCCCGCTGTTATTTTAGGAACCTGACAGAAATATAGTCATGATTTATTGACCATAGGTACGGCTAGGCATAAATTTCTTTCGCCACGTACTATATCAGTGTGGTGTAAAAGCTTCTTCGACTTTATCGTCGCAAAATTGTACGAAAACTAGGCCATCTGTTTACGGCATAATACGGTTTTATTAGACATCAAGCAAGAAGCGCTCTGACATTTCGTAATTTCTTCAGGAGGTAGCGAGAAAACGTTAATATTTTAAGCATTCGATGTCCAAATCTTGTTTCATGCAAGAAACTAAGCATTACATACAATATCATTAATATTGTACTAACAGTATGATGTATGAAATATCTAATATGATATAACATATTGTAGTATAATAAATTATACTGTGTGTATTTTACACGTCAAGTAGTTAACTACAGATTACATCAGACACAAGACAAAACAGGATAATCACGTTGCACGAAAGTAATTGGATATAGTCTCATAAGAGTAGCTCTTTGTACGTACAAAGAAAATTTACTGGCATTATTACCTATTTTGGCAACAATGCTAAAAGAGGGTCTCGTGGTATTCTATTAAATTCTTCGAAGATGAAGCGACCCGTTCTCTTCTTCGTAGAACAATAAGGACATGCCTACCAAAGTACCAGACAGATCGATAAATAACTGTAATGGATATAAAATAATTTAAAACACAAAATTTTTGACTGATAAAATCTTCCGAATTTTATGACAGAAATAAAGGTGGCAATCGTTTTGCAAAATTAATTTTTCCTCTTTCTTCATACTTATATTTATTACAGTACATGATCAAAATAATTTTAAATGCAAAAATATCTTTTGTCAGAAAGATTAAGCTGTACAAATTCTTATTTTGCCAAATTCTGAATAGGAAGATGAACAGTAAAATAATAATTGAAAGAGATTACAATAAAAATTCAGAAAAGATCGAAGGTAAGAAATCAATGAAGAAAAATCAATTGTAGATGCAACAGATTTCCAGGTCAACGATATAGAAGCTAAAGTACCTTATATTCAATAAAGATGGAAATGATATGCAGTAAAGACTGTGAAAGCACATTGTACGGCTAACGTTATTTCGCGAGATCCTTTATCGCGATTATGAAAACTCGTGTCAGTTTAATATTACTGCATAGTAAGTATAAATATATTCCAGTTCAGTTCTTAAGTTATACGTCATATTATATACGAGTCGCGTAATGCTGGATTGTGGCGAAAATATAAAAGCGGCGATAAATAAAAGTTGTTACTGATTGCATTAATTTTCTTAGACTATAGATACACAGAGAAATACGTAGATGTGAAAGAGCAAGGTGAGAAAAAGTCTGCAAAAGTATAACTGCGAGTAGATAAAATAAAGGAATATTAGCGCGAAACACGGTATAAAGCTTCGAAGAAAAATATAACGAAATTGCACTAGTGCAGTATCTAATGAAATAGTACTACGATAATTAGCGGTGTAAAGTTTGATTATATGTCTGTATTAACGTTAACTCATGTTACTACAAGCGCAAAAAGATATCGTTGAAAAGTAGCTATAACCTTAAAGAGAGGTGTAATAGTGATAAAATTTTTTTTTTAGTAATACTAATTCTATATATAGAGAGAATCAAAAAATAAACAGAGCAAATCTTTTAAATGATGATCATTACACAACTGAAATAAAATTCGCAAGATAATATCAAAGTCTGCTGGAAGGATAATAAAAAATAGCGCTTGGTCCTCAGGTTAAACGAATGACGTGAGAAAATATATTATAACAGTTAAATCATGCGTTTAAAGATGATGACTCACGCATAGTTTAGTCAGTATAACAAAAACGCGCGAAACACCCATCGCCTTAAATAGACACGACGATAGTAGTAGAAGTTCTCCTTCACGATACTATTTCTCTCTAGGTGCACATAAACGGATATTCAACCAATGAAAGAACAAAACGCGAAAGCGTACTTTCCTGAGAGATAATATAGAGTTAATAGAGAGAGAGAGAGAGAGAGAGAGAGAGAGAGAGAGAGAGAGAGAGAGAGAGTGCGGGATAAAATAAAATTCTAAAAATATTAGAATGTGCCGAATAAGATGGGATAGAGAGAACATAACTGCAGTATCGCACGTAAGATCCGCCGCCGTATACTCTTATAATTTTCGCACGCTCGATGAGCTGCTCGAACATCCAGAATGGGAGTTTTATGAATCGAATTTCGAATATAACAATCTCTCCTTACACCCGTCGCTATTCCGGCGCGGAATCTCTTCGTGACCTGGGTCGACCACGATCGCCGCCTCTCGGCTCTTTTCCGAGGAAGTTGAGAAGTTGTTTCAGACGCCAATTCCGAGGAAGATGAAGACGAACAAAGAACTACCGGTGGAAGAGGCAGAGCGTCTTCCTACTCGGATTTTCATCCAGTCTAGAGTATAATCCGGACTTTCCAGCTCTCCTTCGCTGAAGGAACTGGAAAGGAAACATTTACAGCCAGCCGGCACGGAACTCGTTGCCCCTCTCCGCGCGCGACTATCAATCCGACTTCTACCTCTGCCATCGTTCGCCGCGAATTTATCAATCTCGATGTCGACGCGCACGTCCATTCCTTAGCAAACGAAATGAACGGCTTCGTCTCCTCTACGCGATCACATGCAATTTGTCAAATCACGCTTGTTTGCTCTAAGCTTTCCCGAACTTACGGAAACGGATAAGTTCGCCGACGACTACGACCCTCAGCTCGTATAGTCGTCGGCGCGTTCTTCGCGGCACTAATTAAAGGTCGCGTATTGTCACGAGCGAGCTTTGTTCGCATTTCAATTACGACCCGGTCGATTTCGTTGAATGAAGCGCCATGAGCCAATCCAAAAGGTCTCACCCCAACCGACATTGTTCTTATCCCTCTTGTTCATCAGGAATTCGACCGCTTTAAGACATAAGCTTTGATATAGTACCGGTATGAAAATTGAATACTATGCGGAAAGCGCAGAGATGCTCGTTTAATTCTAGATGATCCTCAGAAAAGCGATTATCCAAACCATCAAAATATTATCAACAAATACATTAAAATTACGTTCGAGAGTTACACGGAAAGAACAGCCCTGCTGTAGCATTTAAAAGTTTAATTCAATACAGATACGAAAATAAGTTCTGTTGAATTGTCAAAATAATTATAGGCCACTCAAACTGATCGCTAGAATGTCAAAATTCTTTGCTGCATTGCTCATGTTTGAGTTCTTTACATAATTATTTTGACAGTTCAATAAAATTATTTTCAGATCTGTATTTATACCCAAATTTTTTGATACTTTAGCAAAAAAATCATTCTTTTTGTATAATATTAAAAGATTTTCCTAAATAAGCTATCAAATTTTCAAATTCTTGACAAATTTCTCAGCTAAATAAATAGAAATTTATAGGTTTCGTTTATTTGATAAGACAATGCAATATTTTTACTGCCTTTCGCTTTAACGATACAATTCTTATGAAAGGAAGCAGCTCGTCGCTTTGCGAATTCTTTGACAGGGTGAATTATGACGATCATTAGGTGGATTGATTTCACCGTCTAGAAGTTTAAATTCAGCGACATTGAATTTCGCGAATTGAACCGCGGCCCATTCGCGTCCGTCGTGTCGTCAATCTTCGTTCCAAGCTTCTCCATTCCCCGTTCTTACCGTTCGAATATGTCGCAAGGGTTGTCGAATGTAAAAAAAAAAAAGAAAGAAATCTCTCAGGCGAATAGCAGAGGTTCCGATCGAATCGAATTTCTTATTTATTTTAGAGAGAACTTTCGTGCGAAAAATCACGATATTTGTATTGACAACAAAATTTACTACGTTATTTCCATAAAGTATCTCTCAATGATCAGATTCTTATTAAATAGCGCTTCGACAAAATAACGGAAAATTCATATACACGGAAAATATCGTCAGCATTCATTTATAATAAAATATTCAGTCGATCACAAGACTATATCGAATTGCGAGTCGTACTGTATTGACATCACATATATTTTTCATAGCATGTGTCAGAAAAGTAGATAAATCTAGATCTAAAAGTGAGGATGTTAACCTGTGATTATATTTTAAATCTCGCTGAAAAAAGAGAAAGAAATACTCTGAGTTTGATATTTTATATTTTCATTTTTCTTCGTGAGCTTTTTATTTTGGCAATCCGCGAAATGGAAAAAAATAGATATTTAAAAAGATTTTCTTGAATAAAATAATCATTAATATAAGGCCACGCAAAAGAACGAAGTACCCGTTGGAAAAAAGACGACCTCGCCGCCGGCAACGAGTGGATTAATAAAACGTTACTGTTTGCGAATGTAATTTGCGGGATGAAATCAACGTCTATTTAAGTTCTGATGAAATTACTAACCGGTTCGAGACAGATGGAGCTTCAAAGAGACGGGGATAATATTCATTCATAAATTCTGTCTGCCTAAGGCGAGTGAGAGTAAGGTGGAAGAGAAGATGCCACAAGACAGGCAGGGATCAGATTGAAGCGGTTGTGAGAGAAACAGGTCAATACTAATTAATTTAATTAACGAGGCCAATTTAAGCCGCGAGTCGACTTTAATGGCTTTTTCAGCTTACTTTCGTGAGCAAGGCAATGTAATACTTTGACCGAGTCTGTTGGATTAATTCAGGAGCGCGTTGTACAAAGACGGATTTATTCAGATTTAACTAAAATCGGAGAACGTATGCTAAATCAAAGAAAAAACTTTTCGTTCTCATTTAAATAAGGCATGATTTGAATAACTGTAACAAAGCAGAAAACATGAATAAGGCAACGTTGACCATGTCATTTTCTGAATAGTAAAAAATTTTATCTCTGAAAAACTAACTTTATGTGTATTCGATAAGATCTGTAAAAGTTTATTTCTGTAGAAGTTTGTTTCTTTATGGCCGGTATTCTCATTGTCAGAGAGAATGGAAAGTTACTTTTAAAAAGTAATAAATTACAGTTTTACTCGTTATTGAGTCGAAAAAGTGACTGGTTATAGATTTTTAAAAGTAACTCATTACAGTTACCGTTACTTGAAAAAATAACTTTTCGTTACTTTTTTCAGTGTAAAAAAAACTGTAACTCTCGTACAGTTACAAGTTACTTCCATTCTCTACTCTCTATAGTTGTCCTTGTGTTTAAGATCATCTTACAATTCTAAAATACCACAAACCAATCAGACAGTTGTATTAATATTTTAAGACATTATTCAAGACAATCTTGAAATCAGAACGGATTCTATGAATATCTACCTTTAACATTTATATGTTACGAATTTCTTTCACGATCGAATTTCAGTTTTTGATTTTTACTACGAAGCGATGTAAATGATCGACAGTTTCCGCCGGAATTACGTAGCCTGTTCGTATTCTGCGTAAAGTCTGCCAACGCACGCAGTTCATATCCCTCGCGGTTTCCACTAATTTCGTAACTAATTACGTCTCCTTCGAACTCAACGGGACCACTGCGGCACGGGAACTATTTCGATCCCTTTGAAAGCTACGTTTCGGTTTTGTTCAAATGGAATGAGAAACCACATCGTGCAACATTTTGGCGAATAACTGGACGCAATAAAAAAAACAGACTGGTATACAGTATGTTTTGGAAAGTTCGCGCAGTATTTCACGATGATTATCCTTTGACAAATCCAAAATTAATTGTCTCTTTGCTGGAATACATAGGAAACTTTGTGAATGAGAAATTAATCAAAAATTTAATTAATTAAATTTTTAATGATAAACAATCATAAATAGGAATTAATTGATTAAAATAGCTGCTTTCGATCAAACGTGAAATTTTTACGCCTATCCTATTTTCAATACAACAGCATCGCAAAAAGTACTCGAGTTTTCCGAGAATTACGGCACGTGATGTTTAATTGCGCCGGGTGTTTCGTCGATTTCTGATTAAAATTCCGGGTCCTCGATAAAAACGGCTCGAAGAAAAGAAGCAAATGGATGGTACGCGATAGAAGCTGCATGTGTAGTGCACAATACCGGCCGCAATTCCGTTTGAAGCGACGTTAGTTTTTCAGCGGCGCAGGACACCCGGCCGTCGTTTATTCGCCATCGATCGAACGTTAAATCGTGCGTGACGATGAATGCCGGTCCGGGGGGTGAAACCGACGAGACACGGGTGAAGCACGTCAGAGAAGATTGTCCGAGGGATTTTTCAGGATTGCGCTGTAGACGGGCACGAGTGTCGCATAGGATCAACGTGTGTGTGTCTCTGTGTGTGTGCGCACGCGCGCGGGTTTCTGATGGGGTGGTGCATTATTTCCGGAGTGGCGGACAACGAGTCTCGAGCGGTACATTAATTGACTATAAATTCAATGCTCTCTCTTTCTTTCCCTCGACATTAATTCGGCTATCTCGAGAGCGACTTCCGCCGTTCGCGGCCGCTACTCGCGACAAAAGCAACGAATCCGCCGTTAACGAAGTGCCTTAAACACGTGCTACTTAGCGCGTTCAGAGCAACGAAAACAGAACGACGAACGGTTTCCGGAATACTTGGCAAGGGTAATTGATCGTTAAACGCATTTGCATCGCGACGCGGTCGTTGTTTCGCCGCTAGTCGGATAACGATTGCGGTATAATCGTCGCGTTTCGCAATATAAGAAACAAACGCTACTTCAAATATTTTTCAAATAAATCAAATATTCATCTCTCTAAAATATATACGTCTAATGAATGAATGTACCCAGTATTGATTTGCAATAACTTAATTTTTTCGTCATTATCGCAGAAATTCTGTGCCGAAAATATTTTAAATTTATACAACTAATAATTGAAATTATTTTAACGAGTTAATAAAAATCCAATTGTGTTTTTTTTTTACAGGTCGAACGCATGACCCAACTTACAGCCTATATAGATTAGGGGAGAGATTGTCTACGGGTGCTAAATTATATGTAGAAACCGGAAGAGCCGATGGATTGGACACGGATGGGGATTCGCCCAACAGTCTTCACTCATTCACGGGTCCTCCGATTCCTCAAGGTGAAGGCACGAGTGTCACTCGGGCCTTTTTGGACGGCAATCATACTCTAATTAGCATTATGGCGCGCATCAATCCCAGTCCCGATTGGTTCGTAGGCGTGGATTCCTTCCAACTGTGCATCGAGGGCAATTGGGTCGATGCCGTTTCCGTGGAGGTATAATTACATTTGGCATTAATGCGCATGAAACTCAATGTGTCTGCGGTGATCGAAATTTCTTTCAAGAGAGAAAATTAAATAATTGCAGCGCGGAGAACGTACACAATGCGATGTAGCTGTACTTTAAAAAAAAAAGCACAGAAAAAAGTTTTCTTTAAATCAAATAAATCTATGCATTGGAATAGTCCAACCAAATAAACGTTTAAATTAAGCATGTGATTATTATCGCATTAATACTAAACCTTTTTAATTAAAAAAAAAATGTTTCATTTAAAATTAAATTTATTTCAATGAAATAAATATAAACAGAACGCTCGAGTCCAAATAAATCTTTTTCTGTATATGCCAATACTTTTAATTATCATACTTTATCCTTATTTATTTACGTAACTTAAACTCAATCATCCGTCTGCAATCAATATTTTTTTGACATGAGCGAAATTCACTCTCAAATTACTCCGAAATGAAAAGGAGAATTTTTTAACAAATTTCCATTGTTCTCCTCATTTTTTCTTAAATTTCAATTTTTATTAAATAAATGTTTTAACATTGAGTTAAAAATCTATTTGATAAAGTAATTTTGAATTTTTCCACGTTTTCGAAAGCTTAAAATAATAAAACAATTCGAGCAGAATTAAAAGGATCCAGATTTTAGACGGAAGAAGTAAAAATATGTAATAATAAAAAAATATTCTCACGTTTCGCCTATATTACTCGTTCAATTGTTCACAGTCATTGAATAAAGTATATTTCATGCAATCACTTATATGGTCGTATAATGTTTCGAAATACATATACAAAATGTAAATGACGCTTACATCGGCTCCGGAAAGTCAGATGTCTGAGCATCACTGGTCGCGATATATAATTTATACGTCTACCGCGAATATCGCTGCGCACCCTGTCATTTTGCTAAAATCCACGAATGCTCGGAAAATGCGTCCGTTTAAACCACCTTCTACTATTCCTTTTTCAACAGCTCGACCCGCTGGATGGGGGCACGGATAACGGCTTCACATTCACGGCTGCCAACTGGCCGACGAAGCCCCAAGGAATCGCTTACAGGATCACATCCCGATATCCGCCACATCCCGCGGGAAGCTTCTATTATCCGAATCTATTTCGTCTGCCGCGGATAGCTACCCTCACATTCACTAAGGTACATATCTCATATCCTCGTACACGCGCGTTTCCTTTATTTTCTTCACATTAATTCATCGTGTGAAATAAATTGATTAACTCAGTAAAAATGGAATTTTTACGTAAACTAGTACTTTGCGTTATTAATTATCTTGAAACAGTACAAAAATCAGAATTTTTTTCTACTCGTACACGTAAAACAATAAAAAGATAATAAGATAAATAAATCACGTACAAATATTATCTTTAAATATTTTTGTTTTCCAATAAATTAGGAATATGTAAATTACATGACTATTCTTTTCGCGGCTCGATAATATCTCATTCTTTCATGCATTTAATGCTTCGATTTCACGAGAGAGCTCTTTTGTCGTTTCGTAAAATAGCCGCGCCCATTAAAAGAACATCGAGCTTCAGTAATAGCCATTAATTTATTTCCCCGGTATTGATACGCTACGTAATAAATGCCCTGACAATATCAGTTTCAGCATAAAACTGATTAATTGCATTCGCTGTTTAAACAATCTAATAATTCTTCTTGCCCGGTAATATGGTCTCGATAATACAATACAAGACTGGACTTGTTTTATTGTGCCAATTATCATACATGTCGCGAGCAGGGGATATAATATTGAAATTATATGTTTTCGTTGATCTTCGTAAATGAGAGCAAGCAGACAAAATACACTTTAAATATTCATTTGGAAAAAACTATATCGCTGTCAATATTTCGCCTCGAGCAAATGCAATTGTTCCCAAATGCAATTGCTGAATTGTTTTATATCCTTTTCCTCACTGCTAACATTAAGTGTACATTTTCGACGCGCAAGAAGAGTAGTTCGACTCAACGTAAATATTTGTTTTTCGAAGCCATACGAACAGGTTTGCCCTCTTTTACCTTGCATTCCTGCAAACATTGAACCTATCGTGAGACTATCTTCCGCTTCATTGTTAAATTGATATTTTTACAATTTTTTCACCAGAGAATCACAGTTAAATATTTTATGATAAAGATTATTTTATAAAAAGTTTATAAAATTTTATCATGAAAAAGAATCTTACAAGTTTACAATTTAAATATAAATTTTAAATACATAAAAAAAATATACGCCTTTAACGATCCTTCATTGAACAGAGATAAATCGAATAATTAAAATAAAGTCTTAAAACCAAATTAACGTTTTAAGCTAAGACTATTTTAGATGTAACATCGAGAAGATTACACATCATTCAAACACGAATAATCTAATTGTGACCAAAGATTCTCAGAACAATTTTAAAATCTTTTTCCTAACCACAGCATGATACTCCCGGTAACGAAATTCAAGGAGCAACGACTCATATTAACTCACTAATTATCTTTGCCTACAGTCCATCCTATCGCTCTGCTTCACTGACTCCACTTCATCCACCTACCTCTCTGCTTCCGACCTCTCTTTGACTCGTGTCACCTCCACTTCCGCTTTCCCATAGGGCAAAGGGATGACTCGCCTACTAAATTCCTCCCCTTACTCGGCCTCACTTACCACTTAATTACCAAACTTCTGTCGCTAATCCAATATATATACCCTCTCACAGCTCGTTTTCTCTCACCATTTTCTCGCCATTTTCTCTTCCTTTCCTTCTTTGACTTTTGCCCGTTTATGATAACGTAATCTACACTTGCTAATGCTTTCAACAGATTTGTCAATCCATTTTACATAAAGACAGAATAAAAGGTAATTTACAACGTACGAGAGATGTTAGCCATTTAATTCAATAAATTAAAAAATGTAATTTTCTAGTAATAAATCTTAATTAATGTATTGTACATTTTTTCTTGATATTTGATATTGCTCTTGAGATGATATTGATGTAAATATTATTTTAGGAGTTTCAAATTTTGTTCAAACAGTCTGAACCATTATTTGTCACGTACAGTCTTTGCGGTTAAAATATGTTTATACAATTGCCATAATATATGCATCATTTTATTTCTCTCGTAAAGCATTTTCACGAGTAGCTATCAAGAGCCCGTTTCAACCCCCCCGAGAAGGAGAGTTGCTCGCAGCTGCGCTTGCGACCCCACTGTTTCCATTAAACTTCACGCTTCCGGAACTCCATTAAACTGAAAATCAGACCGCCTAATGTAATGCCCATTTCGTACAACAACGCGCCCATTATCGCCCTAAAGTGTCCGGCTTCGCGAAATCGAGAACGTTTGTTTACGCCACTTGGCTTGTTGAAAGCTTTGAATAATGATCGGGTGTAGAAATAAAAGTTAGACTGTACGATCACATACATTATTACGAAACATGTTTGTCGTAACACGAACGACAGCCAAATGATAAATTCAATAATTCTACTTTTATTTATATTAAATAATCGTATAATTATAGTAATAACATGTATATACAATAAAATTTATAATAATTCAATATTTACTTATTAAGTTAAGAAATTGTAGAAACAGGTTCATTATATAAATTCCTTGAAACAATAAACGAATTTAACATGTCAAAATTTATTATATTATGGAAGGCACGTTCCCAAAATTACATTTGCAGCGGGAGATGTGGTGCGGCGTAGCATACCTACGTCTGCGAAAAGACTAAAATATTGTATTTAATCTTTAAATAGAAAGAAGGAAGTTACTAAGGCGAAAAAGAAAAATTTAATTAAAAAATTATAATATAACAAATTTAATCCGGAATTGTCTCGGGGTATTTTTTTAGGATGGCATATTTACATACTAACCCAATTATACCGAGCAAAATAAAATCATGATTTAAAATTAATTTCGTGAAAGCTCAGTAAATGCTATTCTCAAGTGGCAATATACATGTACGCAAATATCTCTTGAGCATATGCAATTAAAGATACAGTCTATGTGTGTGTGTATGTGTGTGTATACACACACACAC